ATACGACAATTATGTATACTACAGAAGTCTTTAAAAAAAGATTCTTAATTGTCACAGTATTTGCTAAAAAAATGTTTTTCTAAGTTTTTACAAATATGGAACAAGCAAAAGTGATATTTTGTTATTAGCAAAAAACTGCTTATAGCCACAATCATGGCTAGATTAGTATCTGTATATATCAGATATATTACTAATTCACTGATAGCCTTAAGTATATTTGTAAATAACCATGTAAATATATCTTTAGTTTCATCTAAAATAACTATAAAAGTTATGAGGTGTGAAAGATTGTAATTATCAATTAAAATAATAACACATAAAACTATTAAGTACTGATTAGTTTTTTGTCATAGTATCAAGTAAAACAATATTCAATCAGACCTCTCTAAATACAATCTTTCTAAATGCATATTTTTAAAATTTTTTACTATGGTCCCAACATCATGCATTTAGAGAGGGTTGACTGTTGTAAAATCTAGCCTATAACTGTTGTTAACTTGGGCTTATCCAGAAAAGTCTTGTAAAATAGTTGTTATAACCTTCGAATTAGACATCAATATAAAATGTAGGATTTGTTTGTTGCTACTTTAAAAGTTCAAGAAACATTGCCCTAGCATCACTTATTGTTTTGTTATAGTCATATGACAGTTAAATTGCATTATATACATTGTATGCATGAATATACTTTCTAGAATTTTTTTTGTAAAACTTTAATAATTGCTCTAGCATGCTCTCTACTAAATGCAAGTATTTGTATTTCTTTACATATTTTAGGAATAAGCCTCCTATAATAAGCCACAACTACTTCGATATTTCTTATAAATATATGATTATGCTGACTATTAATTTTTGATATATAAATCATATTATTACCTTTATGTTGATACATATTTATATGAAATTCACAATTACTGCTATGATAACCTCGATTATGTTCCTCAGTACTATGTACTTTCTTTTTTAAACATATGGTTTGCTCCTCATACATCAATAAATGCAGTGTCAGGAAATTTTATCATTCTTGTCATTTTCACTATAGGTAATAGTAAATGCAAAACCGTGTTCTAATTCATGATTTTTAAACTACCAGAGTAATAATGATAAAAAATATTTAATACTAATACAGTACAGTATATATCAAAAGGATATCAAAAAAAATATAATTAATTGCTTACCCATCTAATTTCTTCCAATTTGTAAAAACTATATTCAATATAATAGGGTATAAAATCTTTTCACTATCATCTTCATTATCTTCTATAGCTTCAGTTGCATCTTCAGTAGCTTCTATAGCTTCAATTGTATTTTCAATACTTTCTATAGCTTCAACTATATTCGATTCAGTAACTTCTGTCAAATAAGAAACCTTGTTGGATACTAACAGTTTATTATTTATATCATTAAATTCAAAAAAAATACTCTCAGCAAAATAATCCTTGTTATTCATATCAGTGAATTCAGAAAAAGTATTTTTATTAAAATCATCCACAATATTTGGAATCAGTAACGTATTCATTGTCTTTAATTATAATTTACTAGTTTTAGTATTTTCTTTGGTATATTTAATTCATAAAAAAATAATTTTGTACTAATCTGAAAATAAATATGTAATGCATGAAAGATTAAATCAAGCAAAAAAATACAGATCAGTTTATTGAACAAATAACATAAAGCCAATAAAGGTAAATTAGTAACCATACACTATATTGGGCAGTAGTAAGTGAATATAAGTAAAATGAGG